TTTTGCAAATACGGCATTTAGACGCAAACACAGTCCACCCCCTTAAATACGGCCCTGACTGCCCCCTTCATAATCCTGGCTTCGCCACTGAAAGTCGAGATTCTGATTTGAAAAGAACAAATTTCTACCACCTCGGTACCGCACCCCGCACGTTCTTAAACGGTATAACAATCATAGATCCTATTTTTTTTAAAAATATATTGTCTGAAAGCACACTCAAGACGTAATGCGAGGGATCTAAGCGTGGTCGGTGAACCGCCCTGTATACTTTTATAACAAAACAGTAGGTATATTATATTACAGTGCGGCAGTTGCGTATATACGCAGTGAAATCCGGAAGATAGAGATCGCTGGACTTGGAGAAAAGAGCACACGATATTTACGAGCCCTTGATAAGTCGTGTGTGTGTGTGTATATATATATATGTATATTGTATATATGAGAAAGTGCCTTACATTATGAGGCTGAAAAAGTGTCTAGGTGCTAAATTGCCCATTAAATCTTTTCGCGCAGATGCAGTGCGCAAGAAACCTCCGTAAAATACATTTAGATTGCCAACAGTTTTTCAGACATCCTATTACATATTATTATATTGGCTTACTACAACTCTGCAGCGAAAAATGTAACTACACTTGAGACCATAACACTTGCTATACTTGCTGTTTATGAATTTTATAACGTACTATATATATTCGACCCTAAGTGTCATAACGACCTATACCTATTGATCAATGCGTGTAATAATAATATAGGTAGTTATACAAGGCTGGGCGAGTTGACTCATTTTTTTTTTTTTAACTCGTCGAGGTAATAAAGAAAAATGTAAGAATGTAAGATAAACCGATGACTGAGTATAGAGTTAGTGGTTACTTTTCTATTTTTATAACTTGAACGAGTTACAAGTAAATTAGAAAAAAAATTAACTAAACTTAGATGAAAACCAGTTACTTTTTGTATTATTGATAATATAAAAATTGTTATTGTTAGAAAAATATAATAATGATTTATAATGAGCGTACATAAGTGTATGAGACACTGGATAAATTAGTTATATTTTTATCTCAATAATAATGATCACCTCTACGATAACTGTTCTGTTTAATATCCATTTTCTATGTATAAATAATATTAATTATTTTATTTTATTTATCAACCGTACATAGGTGTATGAGACACTGGATAAATTAGTTATATTTTTATCTCAATAATAATGATCACCTCTACGATAACTGTTCTGTTTAATATCCATTTTCTATGTATAAATAATATTAATTATTTTATTTTATTTATCAACCCGCGGCAACTTAGGCCATTTGGTGGATTTTTTTTTTTAACTTTGGGCGAGGGTACTGTAAGTTAAACACTTGTTAGTTTGGCAGATTTTTTAGTGAGCACCAGCTGGTACCTGCCATGCCCGGTTAGGATACCTAACCTAACCTAACCCGGATGGGGGGATGGCGACACTTCTCTCCGGACACCGTGACTTGGCCGAAGAAAAATGCCACCCACAGCCGAGGTTTTGAACCGGCGTCGGTGCTCGTCGTTACCGACGCTTTGTCCACTCGGCCACTCCGTCCCCCGAAAATAATATTATATTCTGTGAATATGCAATCACACTGGGTATGATTATTAATAATTATTTATTACGAATTAATTGTAGTTACATTATACAGCTACACCGTTTACCCGTTTCACATATTTTGTATAAATTTGTATTTATGTTCGTTATTTTGATCACTAATAATTATTATTATAGAGTCTAGAAGTATTGAAGTTCGAAACATTTCGACGGTGTGAAATTTAGTGTAAAATTAATTAACTCAAAAGTTACATAACACGGAAAACAGTTGTCAATTCAACTCGTTATGATAGAAATGTTAGAATAATTGGGAACTTATAATAAAAAAAGGTGGGTAAGTGGATGTCGCTCTGCTGTACTGTAGGTTACAAGTGGGTCACTGTATACTGGATGGTATTAAATTTGAATGCAATGATATAATATCATTGTATAAGAAAAACGATTCTGAGCGGAGACGGTATGTCAGTCTAGGTATAAGACATATTATATACTTTTCTATGGAATTAAATTATATGGAATTTGTGAATAAATTCCTTAAAATATGCACAGTCTTATCATGAGCATAATTCTTATTCCTTATACTATGGTAGATTGTATGGATAGGCCATAATATTTTGATTTTTCAGTTTCATATATCCCCGAATAATATTTTTAAATTACAACAAAAACAAAGATCGTTAATATTGATTTTAATATGTAATTTCGTCCAAATTTGAATTTAAAATGTTTGTAAAAAATAACTGTGTTCATAAATTTTTTAGATTTTTTGGTTACAGTATGAACTATTTATGAGAACCTTTGTTTTAAATTTGCAATCTTTAGCTATAAAAACTGAACATTTTATAATTTATTAATTACAATGATTGATAATTTTCGAGATTTTGATAAATTTTGTCAAAATTCGATGTTTAAATGCTTATAAAAAAAAATTGTGCCTATGTATTTTTAATATTTTTCAATTGCTACTGTAACAATATATCAGGAACCTTGTATTAAATTTTTACACTTTTTGGCCCAACAGATAAAACTTTATTGATATTTATAGAAAAAAAAAACTAAAAAAATTGAAAACTGAAAATGTCCGTAAACAGCTCATAAAAAGTCGAAATATTTTCAAAATTGTACAGTGTATAGGAAATGCTAATCCGAACATTCAGTGAAATTTTCATGTACAACAAAATAAGAAAATCACTACATGAGAAATCAAGTGAATATCCAATGTTGTAAAAATTTGAATTTCAAACGCTCATAGAAATTTAATTTGACTTTCCGGTAGAGATTTTTTTATTGATAAAGGTAGACAATCTTATGAGTAATCTTGTATTAGATTTTCAAATCTTAGATTTAAAAAGAAAAATTTTTACGAATTCTTAACTCAAAATAATTTACCAATTTTCGTGATTTTTCCATATTTTGTCAATTTTTGAACTTTAAATGCTTATAAAAAAAAACTGTGAATAACGATTTTTAATACTTTTCATCGGCCTTTGAAACAATATACTATGAGCCTTCTATTAAATTTTCAAGTTTTTTTAACCAACAAATAAAATTTTATTGATATTTCTAGAAAAAAAACCAAAAAAAAATGAAAAATGAAAATGTCCCTAAACAGTTCAAAATAAATCAAAATATTTTGAAAATGTTATCGTGTATAGAAAATGCAAATGAAAACAACCAGTGAAAAATTCATGTATCTACGGTCATTTGTTTTAAAGTTACACCAAAAACCAAATTCAATTTTCTGAAAAATCGATTTTGCGTAAAAATTCCCGTTTTTCCTTAATTTTTCTTTTGTTTTTCTTGGCGCTTTTGAAAAGTACTGGGAATTTTAAATTTTGACCTCCCCAATGCACCAACGATATTCACTTTCCAATCGAACAAGATACTGAAGTCGAAAATCGAAGCATTATTTCGACTACTTATCGTGTACACAGACACAAAAAAAATATAAAAACACACATCATTGTAAAATCAATACATTCATCGTTCCACTCAGAATCTAAAAGTAACTCGTAATGTAACTTGGTTTAAAGAACCTGACATTTATAACTTTTCCATTCGTTAGTGCTCAGCCTTGGGTGGTTGTAAAAAAGAAAATAATAATAGTAATAAATACATCGAACTATGCTATAATACACGATTGAACATTTTGTATCCCCTATGGGAAGCTGTATAGCCAGTAACACCTCAGATAAAATGTCGACTACTAAATTAGGTAGCGCAATACACATCGATAATAAGACCACATCTAAGATAGACATTTTCAGTTCGAGCTGCCTCATGTCAGACAGAAATAAATAAGCTGCGAACAATACAAAACAAATTTCTGAGAACAGCTCTGAAAGCCCTCTGGTTCGTGCATAACATATAAGCACCTCTATACAACGATACCTGTTACGTACACTAACCTCGCTATGGATTGAGGTGGTAGTGCAGCGCGGTGGGTAATGGAATTATTTGGACGAGAGTAGGTAATTGACAATATCAACCGTAGGCTATATACATGCTTATATTATTATTTACTCTAGTAATACATACTTGTGGACGGGGGGAGCACTTAACCTACGTACTTAAAGTCTAACAATTTAGTTGTATATTAAATGTAAGTTATGAAGTTAAGAGAGTCAACATTACATGTCCGCGACGTGGTGACTTCGGCGACGCAATCCCAGTGGTGCAGTACAACCTTACGATCTGGACCGTGGGCGGTGTGGCAAAACGCTGGTGAATGTTGAGTATTGCTCTACACGTCGGCGAATAATACGGCACGACGGTAGACGGACGATACGGCGCACGGACAGTACACACGCAGCAGAACCAGCGTGTACGGTCTACACGTCGGCGAATAATACGGCACAACGGTAGACGGACGATACGGCGCACGGACAGTACACACGCAGCAGAACCAGCGTGTACGGTCTACACGTCGGCGAATAATACGGCACAACGGTAGACGGACGCTCAACGGAGGAACATAACTTCGATACGAAGATGGCGAACACTGTTCAGCGAACAACCAAAAAAAAAAGGACGCAGAATCCACACAGCAGAACGTCGTACGAACGGGACAACAACAACGAACTCGCGTATCAGCGATAATGTGTCATTGTGATAAGATATCCGACCGGCCGCGTGATACGCGGGCGACTGGTTGTCGTTAGGTGTAACGGTCGCTCACCGGCGGCGTGCCGGCCGGTGCAAGTTCCGCACGCCGTCGTTGTCACATGTTGCGTGTGGCGGCAACATACTCCCCCCTTGGAAGACGTAGGCTTCCAAAGTTAACCAGTATGCTTGAGTTGATGGGGTTGATAACTTATGTGCTAACTTAAAAACTAATTGAGAAATATCTCTACATAAATGTACAATCAAGGAGTGGGCTTGTGGAACAAGGAAATGATAGTTGTTGGTGTAGGAGAACAACTCAGGAGTCCTGTTCATCCTCGACAGGCAAAACTGCTAACTTCACGACGGGCCGTTTGTAACTCCCGTCACTTGTTCGAACGGTAACGACTCTCACCACTCCATCCTCGCCCGGATGGGTCAACTCGACTCTCCCTAATTTCCAATGTGTTGGAGATGTTTTTGGATGATGCACTATCACGAGGTCTCCGACTGCGATGTTCACTTGCTTACGATACCATTTTGATCGGCCCTGAAGCGTAGTCAAGTATTCTGATGACCACCGTTTCAAAAACGATTGTTGAAACTGGGTCAGTAACTGCCATCGAGATAACCGGTTCATCGGCGTGGAAGTCAGATCTGGCTCTGGTAACGCGACTAACGGACATCCGATCAAAAAGTCTCCAGGAGTTAGCACTCGTAGGTCACATGGGTCAGATGATTGTGGTACAAGTGGCCGTGAGTTGAGCAGAGCTTCAATTCTGTGAGCTAAGGTGGACATTTCCTCAAATGTCAACAGCTGAGTACCAATGACTCGTTTAAGATGATATTTTGTTGACTTCACAGCTGCTTCCCACAGTCCCCCAAAGTGAGGGGCTGCAGGAGGATTGAAATGCCATTGGCATGGAATCTGGGTGGAACAGAGTTCACGTACAACCGGATCTCGCAATTGAGTGCGTAATACTGCATCGGCGCCTTGGAAGTTCGTTCCACAATCGGAATAGATATGAGCTGGAATACCCCGACGTGAAATAAAACGATGTAGTGCAGCTATGAACGCAGGTGTGGATAAGTCAGAAACGACCTCTATATGTACTGCCTTGATTGCCATACAGACAAAGATCGCCAGATAACACTTCACTGAGCGAGTGTTGCGGCGTCTCCCTTCCTTAATCCATAATGGGCCTGCGTAATCAATACCGACGTTGTTGAATGGCCTCGAAGGACAAACTCGAACATTTGGCAAGTCTCCCATTACCGGTGTAGGCCGAGTGGCTCGTTGTCTTGCACAAACCACGCATTTGAATATGACCGAGCGAATGATGGACCGACTTGACAATATCCAGAAACGAACGGATAGCAAGGATGAGACCAATTGAGGTCCTGCATGCAAATGTTTAGTGTGATAATGACGCACAAGTAATGTAGTGAGTACGCATTACTTCGGCAGTAATATTGGAAACTTGAAATCCTCCTCGGACATTGAATTTCGTATGCGTCCACCTACTCGGACAATTCCTTCAGTATCTAGGAAGGCCGTAAGTCGCGCAACGGACAGTGGAATTGTACCATTTCTGTTGCATGACAAGGTTTTGATTAAGTCTCGAAATTCATGTGATTGAGTGACTTTAACGATTATCTTGAGAGCATGCTCTAGCTCTGACCAACGAATAAAACCCGAATATGAAAATTGATTTCGAATACGACATATAAACCGATACATGTGGGCGACAATTCGAGTGACCCGAGTGAATGAAGAAAAACGCTGTAACCAATCAGTACTGAGGGTTGGAACGGTGACAAGATTACTTGATTCTGTAGGGATCTGCCGTTCTGGGAGTCTGTCGAGTGGCATGACGTTAAAACCAGTGGACGACCAGCCACTCTCCGGTTGACGCAGGAACTCGGGGCCGGTCCAGTACAGAGTATGTGACAGTGCTTCGTTGGCATGCATTCCACGTGAAACACAGTCTGCTGGGTTGTTCAGCGTGGAAACGTGACGCCATGTGCATGATGGTATCAGTTCCGCGATCTTATTCAACCGGTTTGTAACGAATACCTTAAATTGTACTTGGTGAGTAGTTATCCACGCGAGCACAACAGTGGAATCCGTCCATGCGTGCATAGATGAGATATGTACCATTTTGGCAAGGGTTTGTTGAACACGATGTAGCGTTTGGGCAAGTAACAGGGCCCCACAAAGTTCCAATCGTGGAATAGACAACGACTCGTCCATATTTCCTGATTTCAAGGGTGCCACCTTTGATTTTGCAGTTAGTAAATGTACCGTTGATAATTTTGAAGGATACTCTAACCGGATATAGACAACCGCTGCAAATCCCTTCTTTGACGCATCGGAAAAACCGAGTAACTGAACATGACAGGACTGATCGATTGGGATGTACCTGGGTATTTTGAGTGAAGCCACACTAGGTAACTCTGACGAAAATGTTTTCCATGATGACGATAGTTCATTTGATATGGGCTGATCCCAAGTATATCCGCCTTTCCATAAGGTCTGCATGAAGCATTTCGCCCAAAATATGATAGGGGCTAGCAATCCAGGTGGGTCATACATTTGTGCAATAGCTGATAGTACAGAACGTTTGGTGGGTGTTGCCTTAAACGATCCACTGTGATACGTGAAGGTATCGGAACGTGGATCCCAGTGGAGCCCGAGTATTTTCACGGTGCATTCATCCTTTTGGTCGAAGGATATTACTGTAGTCCGGTCCTCCGTAGGAATATTTTTCAATACTTCAGGACAGTTGCTTGCCCACTTCTTGAGCACAAATCCACCATGAGCTAACAATTGAATTGTTTGTTGTTGTAACATTAGTACTTTGTCTACTGTATTGGTGCCTGTTATAATGTCATCCACATAAGTTTGGGTGGATAAGACATCCATAGCAGCCGGATATTGTTTACCTTCATCCTTTTCAAGTTGATGTAACACCCTTATAGCATGATACGGAGAAGACGCGACTCCGTAGGTTACGGTGCATAACTCGTATTCTTCCAATGAGGCGGAAGGGTCATTTCGCCATAAGATGCGTTGGTACTCACGCTCTGAAGGTGGAATAATAATTTGGCGGTACATTTTGCAAATGTCCGCCGTAAACATGTATCGATGTAATCGACAACACATTAATAAATCCATTATGTCCCGTTGTAATTTCGGTCCGGTATAAAGTATGCTGTTTAGAGACGACCCATTGGATGTGCGGGCAGACGCATCGAATACCACCCGTATTTTGATTTTATTGTTTTCATGCTTGACAACCGCATGATGTGGTATTATGTATTTAGCTGGTGTAGCAGCAAGTTGCATATGACCAAGCTTGAGGTAATCGTCCATGAATGATCTATATGCTTCATACAACTCTAAATCGTTTTGTAATTTCCGTTCTAGATTGAAGAAACGTGACAACGCCATGTTGCGCGATTCACCCAATGTACTCGGGTCAATCTTAAACGGGAAATTCACAATATACCGACCAGACTCATCACGATTAGTCGTTTGACAAAAATGTTCTTCACATTTTTCTTCTTCCGTGAATGGCCCGGGACGCACAACCGGCTCTTCTACTTCCCAAAAACGGCTGAGCAATTGGTTGAGAGGAGGTTCGGATGACACTAGCAGAGACGAACAGTGTGAAGGTGAACTGTCTTGAAATGAAGTTCCGACAAAAATCCATCCAAGACTAGTCTCGAATGCTGAAGGTAATCCAATGACGTGACGTACTTGGTAACCATTTTTGAATATTTGATTATAAATGTCAGCTCCGAGAAGAAAGTCGATACGTCCTGGTTGATCAAAAGACGGGTCAGCAAAATGTATGTCTGCGTAGGTAGATCGTATACGTGGATCTAGACTGGTTGGAGGCATTGAACCCGTTATTCTAGACAAAATCACCACTTCACATGTTATTTCTGAACACATAGAAGTATGTGGAATCATAGTACATGTACCACATCCCTTTGCGTGTATGACAGAATTTTGAGAAAGGCCTACAACATTAACGGTCGTTGGACGTCGGGGTAGTTGTAGCTGGAGTGCGCAACCGTGTGTGATTGCTGATATTTGAGATCCAGAATCAATTAGAGCTCGGACGGGTATCCATTGTCCACATTTATCACGGATGCGTACGAGTGCAGTGCCTAATACATTGAGGTTCGTGGCGTTCACGGTCCCGACAAACGCAGATGAGGCATTGCCTGTGGTTGGAATTGCGACATTAGAGTCCGACTTCGATGATGGAGATGACGACACTTGTTGATCGCCTTGATCGAGATGAAGCATCGAATGATGTCGAGCCGAACACTGACGACAAACATATTTTGACATACATTTCGATGATGTGTGCGTGGCACTAAGACAATTTGTACACATTCGATGAGATTGTATGGTTTTAAGGCGCTGTTGCGTGGATGCCTTAATGAATTTTTCACACTTCCCGATATAATGTGATTCTTGGCATAGCGGGCAAGCGGTCGTGCCCTTACCAGCAGCAGCCACCAGAGAAGTGCGAGGAGCTGAGTAAGACTTCTTGATTTGTGGTTTTGGTTTACTGTGGACATGCGCTTCTAACGTAGTAGAACCTGAACAGTTTTGGAGAACTTGGCATCTGTTTTGGACAAACTTCAATAAATCAGTTATTACAGGTAGAGCATTACTACTATGTTGGGATTCAAATAGGCACTTAGTAGACGGATCCAACACTCGAGAAGCAATATAAAACAATATAAAGCCCTCTTTGTCGGGAATTTCAAAGGTCTTGATTGCACCAATATTCTCTTGAAACGTGTCGAGAAAAATCTTCAAGTCGTTCAGCGACGACGATTTTAGTGGTGGAAAACTAAATAATTTTTCCAAATGTGCATGTAAAATAAGACGTTTATTATCGAAACGGTCATGGAGAGCCTCCCATGCTACCTGATAGTTTGACTCGGATAATGGTATAGAACACACTACTGCACTTGCGCTACCCGTCACAGCAGACAATAGATGATGAAATTTCACGATTTTTGGTATATCGTCGTCTTCGTGTACCAACGAATTGAATGTATCACGGAAAGTTCTCCACCGTAGGATATCACCGTCGAAACTTGGGATTTGGATTTTTGGCAGTTGTATCTGTGATCTATCCTTTGTGTTCGATATGCCCGACGATGGCACTGATGGACGGGTGTCGTAACCTATCGCGTCAGTAGCAGCCATAATGGCATAATATTTTACAGACACTTCGCTATTTAAAGGTACATGTGACGAATAATATTCCCCCTCACGGTCGAGTTGTAATAATAGGTCAAAAATCGAGTCTTGATCAGCAATGAACTGGCTGTTAAGAGATTGAACATCCCTCTGTCTAGCACGGAATACATGGAGAGCATCTCTATTTTCACCTATGTTTTTCGCCAAATCATGTAATAAATTAATTTGGGCAACTGACGCATCTCGTTTAGCGACAGTACGTTTCAGAGCACGCTCTGCACGCTCCTTGTCTGATGCAGAGAGGGGCATGGTTACCAATGTTTATTTTAAAAATGTGTTTTTTTGTTAGTGGACTGTATAGTATACTCCAATATCCGGCCCGAAGGACCAAAATGTTACGTACACTAACCTCGCTATGGATTGAGGTGGTAGTGCAGCGCGGTGGGTAATGGAATTATTTGGACGAGAGTAGGTAATTGACAATATCAACCGTAGGCTATATACATGCTTATATTATTATTTACTCTAGTAATACATACTTGTGGACGGGGGGAGCACTTAACCTACGTACTTAAAGTCTAACAATTTAGTTGTATATTAAATGTAAGTTATGAAGTTAAGAGAGTCAACATTACATGTCCGCGACGTGGTGACTTCGGCGACGCAATCCCAGTGGTGCAGTACAACCTTACGATCTGGACCGTGGGCGGTGTGGCAAAACGCTGGTGAATGTTGAGTATTGCTCTACACGTCGGCGAATAATACGGCACGACGGTAGACGGACGATACGGCGCACGGACAGTACACACGCAGCAGAACCAGCGTGTACGGTCTACACGTCGGCGAATAATACGGCACAACGGTAGACGGACGCTCAACGGAGGAACATAACTTCGATACGAAGATGGCGAACACTGTTCAGCGAACAACCAAAAAAAAAAAGGACGCAGAATCCACACAGCAGAACGTCGTACGAACGGGACAACAACAACGAACTCGCGTATCAGCGATAATGTGTCATTGTGATAAGATATCCGACC